AAAAATTTCTGAATCCACCCTGGCCGTATCACGTACCAAAGCGACTCGCGATCTAGATAACATTTTACATAACCAAAAACATCCCAATAATCATCTTAAGACAAAACTTGGCAAGTAAAACTTTACCTATCAGCTACCTTCCCGATTTCACCTCCTAGTGCATCAACTTCATGTACTAGTTGAGACGTTGCAGGTCCACCCACTGCAGGATTGCAAGGCTGTATTAAAACGGTCCAAGTAAAAAATACTTTCCATATATCGAAAACATCTAAAAAACTAACTGACATCCCTTTTGAAAATGTAATCAGAGTTTACATGGTTCTCATGAAAGAACGGTTAGGAATGTTTTCATTTCTTATCAGCAAAGTGGGATTATAACAACTATAAACTCTAGTCATTAGAAATCGAATGTAATTTTACCATTTCATGCTAATATATGGAAAACAGGGATACAGGCAAGTCAATAAAGGCCTAAGACTTATCAGAAAAATTGAACTGAAGAATTAAAAGAGTGACCTCAGATTTGTTTGACGTTGAGCACTCATAAAAATTTGATTTTTTTTAAACCTCTGTTCACACCCAAGGTTCTGCTTAGACCTCTAGAAACTTGATCTCTTCCACGACCAACTAAATTGAAGAAGCTGAAATTGCTAGGGACAATCCCTAGCAATAAACATGATAAAGGTACCAAGGATATAATTTAACAGGAGGATTCTTTACATATTAATTTTATAAAATTCCTGATTATAAATGATTTGCAGACTGGAGTACGCTGGTTGAAGGAGCTGATGAAAGATATGATTAACATCCTCTCCAGAAAAGTTAATTAAAGACATCAAAAAGAGCCCCAATGAATAAGCCACCCAATAACTTTTCAAAATAGGCAAAAACCTAGAAGTTCGCTTGACAAGATCATAAAGAAGTCGCAATTCGTCTAAGCCACCTCAGTAAAGATTCTTGAGAACAACGAAAGGTGTCGAATGATTAATGTTTTGCCCATTCATAGAAAGGAATTTCTTACTCCTAATCCGAAACAATAACCAGAAAACATTAGCATTCTTTATTATATCCAAAAAAAATGCTCTTGTCGGATATATTTATTTACTGTTGCATGCATGAAGATACAATGTCGCTTTATCATGTTACTTGCATGATCACACACGGTATCTCAATTTGCATGTAGCAACAAGGACGTTAAGCTTTTTCCCAGACTGAAAAACAAAGAACAGCACAAGCTAAAAGATGAAGTATGAGAAACAAGTCAAACAACTGAGGATCCATTAACAATTCACTAACTAGAAATGGTGCATATCCCCTTAAACTTCCCACATAAGGCAGCATGTGAACAAAATTGCACTCTAATAGGCTCATTGAACAGCTTGCTGGTGTACAACTGATGAGTTTGACATGTATTTAGGGGCTGCCTTTCTTATCAAGTTGCCAAACCACCCGTATTCAGATATACAAGACTTTGTAATCACCGTATTTCTAGATATTTTACCACTAGCGGAATATTACAAAGTAAACATGGTATATTGACCATTCCACTGTTCATGAGAATTGATGTTTGCTGAAACAGCATGATTAGAATTATTATTCCAAACTTTTACCCCCATCACTAAATTTAATTCTGCTCTTATCAGGAATAATATGTCAAACCAATGTCTCATAAATTGTTATCCTGACTCAAAAATCAATATGCCAAGCCCCTACTTGGCTTGAGCCAAACAAATTACAATTCTACTCTAATTAGCAAAATGTGAAAATTTAAAATCCCTATTCTTGCTCCGTATCACATGGCATATGCACAAGTTCACTCAACTTCACTTGCCCCAGTTCTCATGATTTGGTAAGATCAATCCTTGTTTTGCCCTTCTTTTCTATGGTGTCATCTTTAAATTCCTAGGCTGATCTCTCCACTCACTAGCTGAATCCATATGTTCAGTCTAAATTTAACTCAACAAGACTTAATCCCCAACACTTGGATGTGAAGCCCAACTCACATCTGCTGTCATCTTCCCAATGCTTGCAAAAACCAAGCTGACTGCAGATCATTGATTCAGAATATAAGACTCTAAGCAAACTTTTTTGCATCATGTGCAGAACTGCAGATCCATGTCACCAAAAAAAAAAAATTTCAAGATTACAAACGCAGAAATAAGAGGTTACACCAAATAATATAAAATGTACACAATAGATTTTCGCATCCAAAACTAAACATACTACATGTGATGAACTGTAGACCACATCAATTTCAAGAAATTTCACCAAAGCATCTATATACACTCCATTTGGTTCCCAAGAAACCAACCTAAACAGAAGGAAAAAAGAACATCAGGTCTTATGTTTAACGCTGTTTTGCTTACCTCAAAACTAAACACTCAATTCAACAATGTAATCGTGTAGCAATAGGAATAATTCAAGACTAACAGTCATTGTTCTCTAAAGATGACGGTACTACTTCAATATTCAACTTATTTTCCCAAGTATAGCACTATCAAAATATGTACCTGTACTGAAGCCAATTTTAAGGCTCCATTTGGTTCATGCAATTCATGTATATTTCTTTTCCTTACGAACATCAAAACAACTATAAATAAGAATATATAACACCATATACTGTGTTTTTTCTTTCCTTCCTTCTTCTAACTTCCAAATACAGCCTAAGATTTCCAATGTCAAGTTTTTACTGTACTTCCAAAAGAAACATGGACCATTTTCCACAATTTTCAGCTTATCTATCCCTTATGACCTTCAAGTTGTTCCCCGAGGAAATGCAGGAAAAGTCTAGAACCTACAATTAAATAAGCCCAATAAAACTATTGATCTTCTTTTCTGACGAAAGTATTTCATCCTGCATTTCCCAGTACTGCGGTGAAATACTCATCCGAACAACCCTTCAGTTTCGAATTTCAATTTGAGGCACCCATTTTGAGCAAGTAATGCCCAACCGTGGTGCCACCAGGTTTTTCCATTTGTGACCTGGAGTTAGACTGGGTAAGGTGCGTACATCTAATCCTCTCCGACCTCCTTTTTTAGTATGTTTACACCCAATCCGCTACAGAAAGCACTTTCTCGGTTTTGTTTCCATTTCATCTTTATAAGTCTTGTATTTCATTTTTCAAATAAAATCATTAACACAAGAAACAAAAGACCCGAATTTGTTGTCTCAAAAATCTTCACGACAAGATAAGATAAACTTTCTCAGAAAACTCACAACCATAACAGAAGAACTTCGCCTCTAGAGCTTGAACCGGTGACGGAGAAACTGCGAGGCAATTTGGAGATGAAAAGGCTAAACTTGCGGCCAATGTTGGGGCGAAAGGTGAGGTTTTGATGCCTATGAAGAAGTGGAAACGAGAGAGGGAAGAAGAGAGAAGAGAGAGGGAATTGGCGGGAAATTCGAGAGAGGTGAAGAGCTACGGTGGCCATTCAGATTACTTTGAAGGAATAAGCTTACTCATTGAAGCGCATGGTTATGGAAGGAATAAGCTTACTCATTGAAGCGCATGGTTATGGATGTCGGGGAAGATGAGACGTAGGACAGAGTATATGGTTGTTGGCGTCTTATGAGAGTCTTATAACACGGGTCCGGCTCTTTGCGGTAGGGGAGGTTACCGCATTTAATGCGGTTTAATAAAAGGTTGCCTTTTGGTGTTTTTTTTTTATTATTTATTTTTTTTTAATTATTCTTTACCAAAACGATATTGTTTTGGTCCTTTAAATCAAAGCATCAGCCCCCTCCTTTTTCTTTCTCCTACCTTCACTATTGTCAAACAATTGCTCCTATGACGGCTACCTTCGGCTTTTCCTACCTTCACCACCGCCATAACTCTTCTCACTTAAGCTTCGACGTTGCCTTCTTTCCCTCTCCAGGTTTGTGCTGCTATGTTGGGATAATGATTTTGCAAAAAATAGACCTAGTTTTATATTTTGTTAATCACTAATTTCAAATTTGGAATGTATGTTCACGTCTTTCTTCTTGTCTCTACCAACTGTAAATCCTCTTCTTCACCTGCTCTATAGAACCCAATAAGTATCGTAGTGTGGGGCAACAGAACTCTCCTCTCAATCAAGTACTATTTCACCAAGAACCCCAAGAATCTCACATATCTCATATGCAACAACATGGACTCTACAAAAGATTCTGCCAACAACTAAACATTCATGTCCATCTTTTCCTGCCTCATCACTCGAACCCACATAGACCCAGATTCCAATTCTTTGTAATATTTGAAATCCTCAAGGGATTGAAGCTTTTCAAGCTCTTCATTGGTGAGAAAACACCCTGGAAGAAGGGGTTTTGGAGAAATGATGGTGAAGTTGAAGACGAGGAAGAAGAGTGGGATGTAGAGAATGAAGAGATGAGGTTATAACGGTCAAATTTGGGGAAGATAACAAGTGGGTGAGTGTGTTTTAGGGAAAAGAATCGTGCTTGGTTTTTGAAGTGGGTGGTGTGGTAAAGGTGGTTATGGTGGTAATAGTGAGGCTGTGGGTCTAAGGACAAACAGAGAGAAACTGTTGTGGCCATGAAGAGAGAGAATAATTGTTGTTGTTGTTTTGCTATTGAAAGATAGATCATAGGAAAGAGAGTATCACAAGATTGTTGGCCATGGGAGAACCAAACCCAATTTGACGAAGAAGAAGAGGGAGAAAGAAAAGGGTAGGGTCTGATGCGCCGATTTAAAGGACCAAAAACGACGTCGTTTTGGTAAGGAGAAATAAAAAAAATGGAAAAAGAACACCAAACGGCGACGTTTTATTAAATCGCATGATATGAGGTAACCTCCCTTACCGCAGAGGAGCCAAAACCTTTATAACACATCAGATAACCCATGGCTGGAGGTTGGGGGTAGCAATGGAGTCATATCGTTGGTCGGTCTCGCCGATCTAATCTATTTAATTAATCTTGTATTGAGTTGACTTATGTATTTTTATGTTGTGTTTCGTGTTTGTATTCGTGTTAATCCACGTAAACTTTGAATAAAAAATTTAACATTAATATTTTATTTTCACTTAATTAAATTCATACTAATACTTTTTTTGTAACACCCCGCATTTTCTTTTACATATGTATATAGATATATAGTAAATAATTGTGATAAAAAAATGTGGATATGTGTAGTGATGTGTGTTTGAATTTGGTAGATTGGAAAAGTAGAAATTTAAAATGTTAGTGAAAATAATAGTTGAAATTTGGTTTTAATAAGTGAAAATATGAAATTTTAGGTCCTAGAACTTGTATTAAATAGGTTTGGTGTAGAAATATGTGTTGGAGAGGTTTGTGATAGATTTGGTTGGCTTAGGAATGGATTGGAAATGGAAAAGGGAAGAAAATAGGCTGTGAACAGTGAACTACTGCAACTTCAAGCTCGATTTAGATCTTGATGCAGTCAATATCTCTCAAAACTCAAAACATGAAAGTTTTAGAGCTCTTTCGTATCATTCCATAGCATCTTGAATCATCTCAATCGAAGCTTGGATGAGAGAGTTATGCTCAGATAACGAAATGATGTCGAAATAGTCCAATTAGCTTCGTTTTGCATTTAATGTCTCTATTTGCATCCTAAATCAAAATATAAGAATAATGAGTACTTTTAGGCTTCAAATAAGTATAAAAAGGTTTTAAGAAACACCCTTTATCACCTTTTATTTGCAAACATCGCAAAACTTCATTAATAGTCGATTCGGATGGGTAAAATAGAAATTTTAGTGTTTCGAGTGTACGTTGACTTGGGTGTTGAGATAAATCATAAAAATAAATATTTTTAAGTTAAAATAACATTAAAAATGAATCCAGAATGTCGAAAAACCTTAGAGTAGTCATATGGATTAAATTGGAGATTTTTAGTGGTAAAACCGTAAATTTAGAGAAACCCAAAACAGCCTGTGAACAGTATTTTTCGGGGCTGCTATGTTTTAAACTCATTGTCATCTCATTTGCTCTCATTTCCTTCACTCCCCCTCACACCCCCACACCTCTTGAAACCCTAGAGGGCATCCGAGAAGAAGAAAGGAAGGGAAAAATAAGAGATTCAAGGGTGATTTAAGATCAAATATTCTTGTTCTTCACTCCAAAGCTAAGGATTCAAGGTAGGGGTTTTCTCTCATTCACTTACATTGAGGCTAGGGTATTTATATATGTATGTTTTGGCTATCAAGGGTATATATATGCTATGGAATCATCCACTCTTAGTCTTTTTGCAAGGATTACCTGTTTTGAACAAAGTAGAGTTTAATACCCATGAAATCTCATTTCTAGTTTTAAAACTCTAATTTTTGGAGAGTGATGTATTTCCTTCCTAAATGCTTTCTTTATTATGAATTTCGAAATCTTAGTGCTTTGTGTTGGGTAGAAAAATGATGTTATTGTGATCTCATATACTTTCTTAGTTAGTTGTGGAATTGTTATATGATATATTTTGAAAATTTTGGATAGATGCTTGTAAATTGAGATAAATGTTGGAATTGTATGCTTGGTTGGGTTGTTTATGATGCACATGAGTGAGAGATTCCTTGTAAGGATGCTCACCCCTTCCCAAGAGGTTCCCGGTAAGGATGCTTGGGAAATAATGCAGTGATTGGTGAGAGGTTCCATGTAAGGATGCTCATCCATTTTCAAGAGGTTCCCGGTAAGGATGCTTGAGAATCAAATGTGACTGAAAAGAGGGGTAGATGTTACCACAAAGTATGCCACCAATTGAAAGAATTGTTGAAAATTGGTTATGACAATTAATAGTTATTATTTGTATGTGATGCTCATTTATTCATTTAAGTAATATTTTTAAATAAACTTGAGTTCCTTTTTAAATGTCACTGCTTTATTTCAAATTATGTGTCTATGTTATGTTAAAATTGAGACCGACCGTTTTAAATGCTTTTCTAAATCTTGTATGGGTTTGGGAGAATGTTTCTACAGAACTTCGTGCTCACCCCCTATCGCTAACATTTTTCAGATTACCCGCTTGAGGAGAAGGACGTAAGGGTCGAGGAGCCCGCTACTTGGGAGACTCCACGGGACGGGAGTGTGGATCCCGAGGTGGAGGCATAGAGCGACCTCCTTTCCTTTTGTACTAGACTAGGACATTCTTTTGGAACATTGTGTAGTCTAGCTTCTTTTGTTTATTCCGCTACGCTTCCTTAATTAATTTTTGAGATGTAATAGCCATGACTTGGGCTTATTCTTTTGGATAATGTTGTAAATATTTGTGGATGACAAATGAAGTCTTGTTTCTTAAAGGATTATATTAGTGCTCTCATGATATAAATGGTTTTAGAATGTAATGTCATCCAGGGTGTGTTTTGGGGCGTTACATTTTTACAAGCTAAAAATTAACTTAATAAACATAATAATAATAATAATAATAAGTAAAAATATATTTTTTATACAATAATTATGTCGATGTTTAATAAACAGTTACAAATAATTAATATTTTATTTATATAATACTAGTTAAACATGTTAATTTTGTATTGTTCATGTTATCATACAAATGAGAAAATGGAGAAAGTGTCTATTTTTAAATAAACAGGTTGATCGTGTCAATTTTGTATTTGGTGGGTTAAACCTGAACATGACTCATTTTCTATTTTGTATTCGCATGTCGGGTCATTTTCGAGTTCGTGTTGAGTTATAATAGAGTTCGTGTCAAGTTATAATCGAGTTCGTGTCATAAAATTGGAGTCGAGTTCGAGTCGTGTTGTCATATTAAGTCGAATATTGTCACCCCTACCTGGAGACATGGTGTAATGTAAGTAAGAAGTGATAGATTTGGGGAAGAAGAAAATAAGAAATGGTATAACGTAAGTGAGAAGTAATAGATTTTGGGAGGAAAAATTCAATGTGAGTAGTTTTAAGAGTGATGTTGATGGTTGTTGGATGAGTCTATTTGAAACTGTTTGATGAGTCTATTTAACCCATGCCCAAAGGTACAGTGCAATGTGAATGATTTTGAGAGAGATTTTAGTAACTGTTAAATGAGTCTATTTGAGGTTGTCAAATAAATTTAGGTATAAATTTATACTTTAAACCTAATTACTTACCATCAATTAAGGTAATTTTTCTAAATTGAAGTCAGTTACAATCTGATTAGTGGTGCATTGTGTATGATTAGTATAGTGTTATTTGGCTAATTTTGGATAAGAAATTAATTGTGCAAAATTAATCAAGTTTTGAAATTTTTCTCTCTTTTGTAGTATTTACAAATTTTACAAGGAAAATAGTTGATTTCAATACTTAAGGGGGCAAATGCGTGAACGGTGAAAGATTCAGAGCAATTAGAAGCAAAATTTGACAAAAAGAGTTATACGCCCTAACGGTTGAGGATAAGCGTCCGAATGCGACTTCTAGTAGCTAAAAAGAGGAGAGGAACCTGTAACACCCTGCATTTTCTTTTATATATGTATATAGATATATAGTAAATAATTGTTGTAAAAATGGGGATATGTGTAGTGATGTGTGTTTGAATTTGGTAGAATGAAAAAGGGATGAACAGTGCACTGGCTGTAACATCAAGCTCTATTTCGACGTTGATGCAGTCCATATCTCTCAAAACTTAAAACATGAAATTTGTAGAGCTCTCTCTTAGGATTCCATATCACCTTGAATCATCTCAATCGGAACTAGGAGGAAGGAGTTATGTCCATATTACGAAGTAGTGTCTACACTGTCCGGCAGACTACCTTTCGCTAATTTCATCATAACTCTTTATTGGAAAGTCCGAATTGTGCACCGTTATTTTTGTTAGAACCCTAACTCATATATCTTTCCAACCATATAGGTTACACCTCCTAGAAATACCTGAGTCAAATCAGTTTATTCTATGAAGTTGACCAAAAATCTGCACTATGGTGCTGCTTGGATAGTAAAGGGTTGTGCTTTTTTATTAGACCTTGAAGGTGTAAAACCCCATATGTTTACATTAATATATTAATGTACTTGTTTAGTGATTCTTCTATATATAATGACTTAAGAATAAACCATATATATATTAAAATCGTAAGGATATCACCTATAGTAGTTCGAAGGAATAAAATAGAAATTTTAATGTTTCAAGTGTGAATTTATTTTAGTTTTGAAATAAATCATAAAAAGCAATGTTTTTAGGTTAAAATAACATTAAAAATGAATCCAGAATGTCGAAAAATCTTAGGGTAGTCGTATGGATCAAATTGGAGATTTCTAGTGGCAAAACTATAATTTTGGAAAAAAAACTCAAAATTCAGCCATGAACAGTGATTTGTCGCGGACTGCTGTGTTTAAAACACAGAATCCAACCAATTTCTTCCATTTTTTCTCACATCTCTCACTCCCAAACCCCTTAGCACCCTTGGGGAAGATAGAGGAAAGGAGAAAAGGGAGAAAGGAGGTCATTAG